ACGTTGTTGCAAGAAATCAACCATAAGGATGCGGGAAGTGATGAAGTGAACGCCGCCCTCCATGTATAATGTTTCGCTGCAAAAAAATTCTTACATGAAAAAAGTGTGAAGAAAATACCTCACAAAAACACACATTATAAAACAAGCCAGAATGAAAACTAATTTTTATATGGTTTAAACTGAGGGAAATTATGTTCAATGTAACCACTGCCCACTCATAAGCACGCAGATAAGTGTCGTCCACGTAAAAAATGGTCCACAAATGCTTAATAAAAACTGCATCACATATAAAACTAACTGCTGTAAACCGGTGAGTCAAAAAAGAACTGAAACTGACTGGAATATTACAAAAAAGCCCATATATCATGTATTAGTGCCAACAGAAATGTGTCATCATACACACACACACACCAAAGACATAACGAGTCACTAAGCCCTCGCAAACGCTTTTTCGGAAGAACGGCTAAGCTGATAATTTTTTAGCAAATGAAAAGAATGCAAGGATCGCCAGCAGACTAACAACCAAGCAAATGAAGAACTTTACAGTTGTGTAGATGCAGGTAATGAATCAGCAGATGCCTAATGCATTCAAAGTATTGGTCGGATATAATTATAAATTTATCACCAGCAGAGGTAAAGTTACGGCAGTGTAATGGTAAATTCATCACTATCCCGATATGTAAAGGTGACGGAGGAAATGTGGTGTACTGGAGAATTTCCTTGGAAAAAAAGGCGAGAAAACAAAAATCACAGAATCACCGCTAGTAGCAAATTAACTGATTCTGTTTCATCGCAGTAGTCACCAAAGGGTTCCCAGCTATACTGATGGACAGAAGTTGTATTGAGTTTGATCAGGGTAAGCGTGGTCAGCAAAGTCCTAAGCACAAACACATTATAAATCGAAAGGTTAAATTTTTTTTTAAAATTTTAACTCATATTACGCAATTGGTTAAATTTTTCTCGTTTCTAAAATGCAAGTGACATACAAATGAAGACGCACCGATCTTTGATGGAGCAATCCGCTGTGATGATTTTCGGCGGACATTTCGTTTTACTGCTGCGCAGACGCGATAAGAAAAAAGCCTGAAAAGCACTGCTCTCAGTGATGATGCTAAGCACAAAGTATTCAGGGAAAGCAAAGAGATCAAACGTGAGCTAACGTCATCTTGCGGCGTTGTATTTAAAACAAAGACCAATAATTCGGGATCGGAGTATAGTAGCAAATGATGGAGTATCAGACGCTCGAGCCCCAGGCCACTGAAATGATGAAAACTGATAATGTGTATTTCCAGGCAAAAATCATCAGGCATTTCTCCGACGACTGCTTTATCAACAAAGATGCTTCTGCACCGATGTGTTACCAGTTGTATGGAAGCGAAACATGGAATACCACATTCACTGGGAAGGTAAAGTTATCGGTGATACAACCCAGAAAATGAAGCATATTAGTTCACAGCAAGATGCAGCACACTGCCCCCCAAGTACTGCGGATTATTAAATGGAAACCTTGCAATGTTAAACGAACATGTCAAGGTGAATAAA